CTTTGGACATGCCACAACACCACCCCGCATGTATGAGGGCCCGGTACGACGCTCCGGTGGTATTGCTACCCCCAGGGCCCCCGTCCCGCCTAACCCTGGAGCGGTTGACCACGAGATCTAGCCTTTTGACTTCCCACGGACGGGCTTTGACCAGTGGACCTCTCCACCCGGTTGTGTTAGGTCGGCCCAGAGGGACACCCGGGAGCAACATCCGGGCCAAAACCACAGCTACATCCACTCCGTGTAGACCCGACGCATCCGTTTCCCCCCTCCAGGTGCCGGCGGCGGCGCCGTCCATGAGGGGGGCACACCGTGGATGTGAGGGGGGTCACTCTCTGGAGACGGGTGTCGGGCGTTTGCAACTGCCACAAAACTTCTGTCGGCATAGCTGTTTTTGATTTTAATAAAATATAAGGATCTATATTTAAAAGAACATGACCGCACATTAATAACGTGCTCGAAAAAATACAAACTATATATATATTCATAATATATGAAAAAAATACAAACTACATATATATTTATATGTATGTTTATATTTAACATGTTACATGTTAGTTGATATAATAATACATAAAAAAGCATTAAAAAATATGTATCGAAAAAAATCTAACTATGCCGACGGCCTAGCCGTCGGCATAGATCCGACCAGCGTGCCGCGGATCACTGACGTGGCAGATATGCCGACGGCAGCCGTCGGCATAGGCTCTGCATGGTGCGGCCTGGATCAATGACGTGGCCTGCGGACCTATGCCGACGGCCCCCCGTCTAGGCCGTCGGCATAGCTCTGACGCCGTTAGCCAGGGGGTGGCCGGGCCCCACGTGTATGCCGACGCCTATGTAAGCCGGCGGGAGCTGTCGGCGTATATGTAGCTAGGCCGACGGCCATTCTATGCCGACGGGTGCCGTCGGCTTATCTCTGCGTAACCCGACGGCCTTTGTATGCCAACGGCCAGAACCAGGCTGTCGGCATATCTCCCAGGAAGCCGACGACGGCCGTCGGCATTGTTTTGGCCGTCGGGGTATGGCCCTGTTCCGGTAGTGAATTACATCCATCTATTCTCTTCAAGTGAAATCCGCAAGTATCAGAAGTGCACTGAGCTACTCATAAGGAAGCTGCCCTTTCAAAGGCTTGTTAGGGAGCTTGCCATGGCTTCAAAGGTAGAATTTCATAGGATCAAGCACATCTTAATTTGGTTTTCTTGCAATTTTACTTGCCAACAGAAATATATTTTACTTACGTTATATTTGTTTGCTCCTCGACTACGTTTGCAGAGTGATCTACGGTTCCAAAGCCATGCGGTTCTTGCTTTGCAAGAGGCAGCAGAGGCATACCTAGTGGGTCTCTTTGAAGACACCAACCTATGTGCTATTCATGCCAACCGTGTCACCATCATGTCCAAGGATGTTCAACTTGCTAGGAGGATCCGTGGCGAGAGGCCTTGATTTGATTGGAGATGGAGCGTTCAGTGGCCTTCAATAGTTTATGTGAATGGTTTTATGTCGCAAGAAAATTAGCTATTGATGACGAATGTTCGACTATGCATGGGATAATCAGTTAAACTAGCAAATCTACTTGCGTTATGCAAATTAATTGAGAAGTTTTTTCGAAGGTAATTAAAAAGGGCTTTTTTTTAGGCAACTCTGCAATTTGTTGGGCCGTCGGAGCCCAATAGTCTCAACCCTCGTTCCTTCCTCCTGTCTGCGCGTGCGCCGTGGCCTCGCCGCCGGCGAAGAAGACACTCTCCTCAACCACCATTAGCGCCCTGGACGACGACACCCTGCGCGAGATCCTCATCCGCCTACCCTCCCTCCCTAGCCTGGTACGCGCCGCTCTCAGCTGCCGCACCTTCCTCGACGCCGTCCGCTCATCCCCAGCCTTCCGCCGTCGCTTCCGTGCGCTCCACCCACCCCCACTCTTAGGTCTCTTTCTCAGCATGGAAGACACCGTCGTCCCTACCTTCGTGCCCCTCCGCTGCCGCTCCAACCCGGACCTCGCGGCCGCCGTCCGCGGCGCAGATTTCCTCCTTGGCCGCCTGCCAGTCCCGGAAGGCGAGAATGATGCCGTCTTCCTCCATGTCCCCGTCCCCGTCCCCGAAGACGACGAGGATGCCATCGTCTACGAGTGGTCAATCTGTGACTGCCACGACGGATTTGTTCTTCTTGGCAGCTGGAGCACCCAGCAGTTGGCTGTCTACAACCCGCTCACGCGGACCCTGGATCTCTTTCCCCTGCCGCCTGATGAGGACCGCGAGGGCTTCAATGTCGACTTCCACATCCTCGCCTCAGAACAAGACTATCGGTTGTTCCGCGTTGTGTGCGTCCGGCACAATGAACGTGGCGCACGCGCCGTCGTCTTATCATCGAACACCAGGAAGTGGCAGATGTTCCCATGAGAAGAGATCAACGGGCCCTGGCGTCAGAGTGGTAAGGTGGTGAATGGCTGCATCTATTGGACCATCGGAGTGCCGAAGGACGCCCGTGTGTTAAACACCACTACAACGCGATTCTTCCGAATGGATATGCCGCTGCGCAGGCGAGGGAGTGAAACACTGACCGCTGGTGAGACCAAGGATGGGAGGCTCTGCATGGTCTGCGTCGCTATGGAACCATCAAGATTCGAATCCGCGCTCGATGTTTGGACCCGAAGTGCCGATGACAATGGTGTCGACAGGTGGATGCTGGACAAGACACTTCTGTCGCGGGAGATATATGAGATCGTTTGGTGTGAATTCGACAAGGATAATGTTAAGGTTCAACTGAGTGTTAATTCGATTATTGATGGATTTGTGTACTTGCGTGCTTGCTGCGGGACGTGGCAGCATCGTCATTCGACTCACTGGCTCCTATCCTTCTGCATGGAAACAACGGTGCTGAACAACCTTGGTCGCATCCTTAATGGTGCTTCCTATCCCTACATTATGCCATGGCCTCATTCGTTGGTACACAGCAAGGTGACTCAAGGTTGTTGTTTGACTTGTAGGATGAAATTTAATTACAAAAAACTTGATCTGTTTAAGTTATGAACTAATGTCTTGCTATGGTAATTTGAATTACACATCTAAAGAATGGTCAAAGATGGTGAGGTCCTATTGAGAATTGACAATCATTTGCATACCTTCGATCAGCATATATTAACAATCATATTCCTTTCCTGTGCATATTGGAAATGCGTAGAAGACTTTTTGAAATTCTCTTCAAGAAACAAAAAGGAGTAATTTACCAGAGATTCAGTCAAAGAATAACTAGAAATATGTTATGACAATCTAAGAAGTTCCATAAATACCTATACAAATAAGTAAAGATAACTTCATCCCTCCTTCGGTCTTCCTTGATCATGATCGCTTGCTCCAGAACTTCAAGGAAAAGACTATTTTGAAGGTTAATCATGTTGGGTCAATCATTCTGTAACAATTATTATAAATTGACCATGTTGTAGTTGCAAGGCCAAATAAGAAGTTCTTATCTTTATACTCTTCTTGATTTCATCGTTTCATACTATAAATTGTTTCATATACTCTTTATACTTCAGCACCTAAGAAGTTAGCCTTTCT